GAGAACGGGAAATTTAAGCTCCCTGTTTTATTTATGCGTCTCAATCAAGCAAATTCGTCAGTCCAATCTGAATCCGCCGTGCTATAAAGGTTAGAAATAGACCTTTGAGCTCTACTACTGTTTGTTATTTTATTCTACTGTCTGGTTATCGTTAGTGTACTGTAGTTATTTGCTCATACAAATGCAATAATTAATTTCAAGCAAATAATAACTATGGATAAGCTATTACCGTAGATAGCACGGTAAACCCTTAACCCTAAACAGTTTAAATTTTTCGATTTTATGTCCTCAGAGTCCAAATATGTATTAAATCTATTCATATTTATTCAACGAATTTGGTTATTAATGTGTGACGGACGATTACTGAAGTTCAACTAAGGGAGAATTAACCACCAGGATCTTCGGACTGCTCATTCTGAAAATATCTTAAAATCATGTTTGTTGCTAGAATACTATTCTTGATGTATAACTTAGGTTTACACGTTTAAAAATCATTTTTAAATAGTAGGCTACAGTCAGTTCCACCATAATTTTGAAAACCTATATACAAATTTAAGTTACATTAACACCATGCATGAGGTTTTGTTGTGGTACTTTTAACCCTCAGAGGCCTAAACAGTTGCAGGCTCTCCTCAAATTTCCAGTAAGAAGATTTCCTTGAGAAAGAACACGGCGACCAAATTCTCAATATAATGCAAAAACAAAAACAAAATCCAATTCATGAAAAAATCAGACAAATCAGAGAAGAATCTTACACATATACATGTTAAAAAATATGCCTAACCATTTAATCAAAATTTTACTATGAATTCAAAACATATGTTATTAACTATTTATTTATTTTAATTGTTTACATACTTTCATAACACTCATACTGTGATCATGGCCTTAGTGCCGAAATACCTATCAGTTTAAATAAAAAATGAATTTCAGGATACTCTGGTTTTTATTATTTTGCTTATTAATTAAAAAAGTAGCCCTAAAAATTGAACAGAACTATAAAAAAAAAATCTATATAAATAAAATTAGAGTTTTGTCTGTACATTGCTTAGAATAATGAACTTTTTGGTTATTTTTACATTTCATAGGTCAGAGAAACCGAATCAAACCTTATCTCAATTTCTGTCTGTCTGTCTGTCTGTCTGTCTGTCTGTCTATCTGTCATTCTCTTGGTAACGCTAAAATACGCACTTTATTACAACTACTCCTCAATAACTATAGCACTGTCCCGCCTGAAACTTATTTTCCAAATACTATACATATATGAGATGGTTTTAGACGTATTTCATCGAATATGAGACAGTTAGATATTTAACAGTAAACCCTTGAAAATCAAGTTTTTGTCGATTTTTGACGTGGAATTTCTGGAAGCCCATGTTAACCTTATGAGAAATGAAATTATTGAATCTTAACAGCTGTTTCAATTAAACAAGTTGGTTCTGTTCTGTGATGTTCAATAGCATTAAAGTTACAAGGATTACCAACAGGGTGCAGCACTAGCACTATTATTTCTTTTACATTTATGACAACAGCTAATTTGCAACCTGGAGGCGAGTGAGCGTAGCGAACGAGCTAACCTGAAGGCAAGTGAGCGTAGCGAACGAGCTAACCTGAAGGAAAGTGAGCGCAGCGAACGAGCTCCAACATACAGGTGAGTGAGCGTAGCGAACGAACTTCAACCAGGACGTGATTGAGCCATGCAAACGAGATCAGATAGTAAAAATAAAAGTAAGCCTACCGTTATAGGATCGACCGGCAGACACAGAGGTAATTTAACCTTTTATTGATTGTCATACCGATCCGGAACAACAAAAAACAACATAAAATGAAGCTATGTATAATAGTTTGGCCAGCATATCTTAAAATATGCAAACCAACTGCTGTTCTTTATATAAGAAGGTTTCAACTGAATATTATAAGATCCCCGTGCGTAGAACGGGTACACAGCTAGTATTTATATATATATATGTGTCCGTAAACGCGATAACTTGAGTAATTTTTGTCCGATTTTGATGAAATTTGGTTTAAAGGTGTAAAGCGTGATAAACTTAAATGAGTTCGCGAACCAGCATGATCGGACTATGGGAATCGGTGTATGGGGGGGGGTTTTATGGGGTAAAAATAGGTTTTTCCAATTTTTGACCCTAAAAACACAAAATTTCACAATTTCTTTCTAAACCATTTTGTAGAGCTTAAAAAAAAAATAATTTAGTATATTGAAGCATTATTATGCGCCTAATGGTTACGGACAAAATTCAAAAAAATTGTAATTTTAAAATTCCCATGTTATTCTTATGGAGAATTAGTCAACTGTTGTAGTTTGCTTGTTTATGAACATATTTTGATCAAATTTGGAAAATACATTAATTTCTTACTAAACTACAGTACCTATTACCATTTTACATTAAAAAGACACTTTTTTACCCTCCCTGTTGCAGCAAACCTAAGTACTAATTCTATTTAAATAGGGAATAAATGTGATATTTTTAAGGAGACATTTTAGTGTAAATCAGGCAAATGGAAATTTGCTAAGTGTGCAGGTTTGCTGCGGCGGGGGTATTATTTAAATATATGTCTCTTTCCGACTTACAGAAAATACTTGTTTTTAAATCATAAACTAGTATCTGTCGAAATCAGTAGTCCAGTCTAGTAAGTGTGTCCGGTCAGAGTATGAATGCGAGGTGTGTGTGAGATTACGAAGCTACAGTCGCGTTGCAGGGCCGGGCAGAGCGGCTGGGCACTGGAGCTGCGCTTCGCGGGGGGGGGGGGGGGGGGAGGTAGGGGAGCACGAGAGAAATAATGATAATTTCTTTAAAAAACTATTCCGATACGAACATTTGGCCGAATTAATATCTGAAAACGGCAAAATTCTTTAAAATTTATCTTTACAAAATGACTACCTGCAATAAAAAAAAAAATTATTACAGCAATAAAAAATTCTTTATTTTTGTAAATAAATTTTAAAAAACATTAGCAAAATTGCGTGAATGTCTTATTCATATAATTTACAAAACCTTTTACAAAACAAAAATCTGATAATAAATACGGAAATTATAAGTGGTACAAATTTGCCACAGAGGTGCTGCTAGCTATCTATCGGGCCAGAAACACAACTTTTTCAAGGATGTTTACCCTTAAGCTTAAAGAGTTGATTCGGCAAAAGAACATTTTAAGAAATTACAAATTTTTACAGTTTATGGGCAATATATTTATGAAACAAATCTTATCGCAAAAAAAATAAATCTGAGCAAGTAATAAATTCAGTGCATTCTTATAATATCAGGAGGAGAAGGGAGTTTGTCTAGCCTCACAAATTAAAATTTTTTGAAAAAAACCCCTTATAAGCTGGTAACGATTTTCCAAAATTTGTCCCTGAATTCAAAAAAATTCCAAAAGAGCATATAATTAATCTAGCATTATATTCTTTTCTTATAAGTAGCCCATATTAGTCGCCAGGACTTTCGTACTTTTTAGCCGGGAAAAATGTGTGAATTTTGTTTGTAGATTCTGCTGACAACCCTGATCCCTACAAAAATGTATATGAATTCTACGCACTGTACCAGACAAATTAGCTTATAAATCTTGAAAATTATTTCCAAAATTTTAAAACTATTGACTTTTCTCATAAAAAGACGTAAAATAATCAAGAACCAATTGATTAGCTGATCAGCGTACACAAAAGCCACCAGGCCTACTCAAAAATGTAACTATTAATAATTAGTAACAGATCTCAAAATCTTTTGCCCACACAGCCTCAAAATTTGAAATTCAGAAAGTGAGTCCATGGGTTCCATAACAGAGGTATGAACTCATTTTACTAAAACAGGGTGACCACCGACCGGAAAATCTTGGAGACTATGATTGGTTTTTTGAATCATGAAGAAACCGGTAATTATGTGTAGATTTTGTATTTTTACCGGTAACTTTCAATTTATCTTTACCGCAATCGTGCATGACGACGATGACGTTTCCTTGACCCCGGGAGACGATGATGATGACCATACGTTTGCGGGATATGTAAATGATTTTGCTGTGATCGTGGAAGACGGTGATGATGTTTCTGTTACCGCATGGATATTTAGAACTATGATGTAACAGCAAAAGACAATGATGATATCCACACAACGGCGGGAAATGATTAGAATTTTGCTGTTAACGAGAGAGACGATGATGATGTACAAACGACCGCAGTAGATGATCAACATGTTACTGCAATTGTGAAAAACGATAATAATGTCCAAACGACTGCGGGAAATGACCGGAATTTCGCTACATTTCTGGAAGACTATGATAATGTCCACACAACCGCAGGATATGTTCAGGATTTTGCCACGATCACGCTAGACGATGATGATGTTCACACGACTGCGGGAGATGTTCATGATTTTGCCACGATCGTGCAAGATGATGATGATAGGCTTCAAAAGATGATCAGTTTTATTTATTGTTTTTTCTTTTTTTATGAAAGAGGTTGGCGGCCTCTTTTAACCTTGCATTTGCCTGTCCACATAGACTAACCGCCCGTGCGTAGATCGTTTACAACAAAGCAAGGAGTGAGCCGGTACAGTACAAAGGTGATCTGTACTGATAAAATGTTTTCGGCAGTGATCCGAACTCACGACATCGCTGCCTTGGACCCAAAGTCCGCGACGCTACCGACTGATCCACCGACTGACTACCACTAGCTAACTAGCTAATTTACTATTATCAATTTAGTTAATTTAAGTTCCTTTTTTTTCATTGCTATAGTGCAGTTGTTTTACATTTTTATCATCGTAGCACTTTGTTCAATTATTTTTATAAAAGGGCGAGTGAAATAAAAATATATAGAATTTTTCTTTGGTTTTTTTTTAAAAGTCAGGAAAAATCCCTCAGATTGGTAAGGAAAAATGGCCTTAAACATTCTGTGGAAACCCTGTATAAATACACTTCTTGCATCAGCTTTTAAAGATAGTATTGACATTCAATGACATTTGTTGATTATCTGTATTTTGTTTCAGTGACGAGTTGCTGCAGGTGGATGAACTAATTCAGGCACTACAGGAGTTACAGAATGTCTCTGATAGTTCTCGTAAACAGACCATCATTGAAGTTTTGGCTAAAATTGACATTGATAAGGATGGAGTTATCAAAGTTGATGATCTGCTCAAGGTGTGTTGTTTACAAAATACTATTATCTCTCATTTTTCTAATGACTAAGACCTAATAATAAATCTTAGTAACTGTATATTTGTTAATAGTGGGTTACAGGTATGTCTACAAGCATATAAAAAGGACATGAAACTGCAACTCTCTTTATTAGACAGTTAAAAAAAAAATAAATAAAACTCTGTGTTACAAATATCTACAAATTACCATCTATAAAATGTTTTTACCAAAAAAAGGAAGGAAAATAAATAACGTTTAACTGTAAACTAAATATAAAAAAAATAAAGAGAATTCAGTATTGTTAACACAAACAATAACTAACGTATACTTTGCCTGTGTAAATAAATAATTTTTATTAATTTAATTTTTATTAAATTTTATTTGAACATACCGATAAAAAAGACTCGAAATTTCTGAAGGAGTAAACACCAAATGAACCAATTTGTAGCTAATATTGGTTAAGAAAGAATTTTGGCTTTATTTTAACAACTTAATTTAATAAATTAGCAATTCTCAAACTATAGGTCGTAACCCGCTCATGAGAGCTAGATGGGAGGGTCGCAGGAAGAGATCTAATATTAAACATATTATGTTACTCGAACCCGAGAATTGGGTAATTTTTTACCACCCACAACTTTTCGGGTGGTATCAGAATAGCGCCAGGCAAGGAATATAACCTTCAAACATATTTAGTTTGTACTCAATTCAACAGTAGGCTATAACTAAACATGATTTTAAGCTTCAAACTAGGAATGTTTAAAGGATTCAGAAAGTTGTAATTACCATTTTCTTAGATGGTTTAATTTTGGAATTTTTTCGGGAAGGGAATCTTCAATAATATTGTGATCGTTAAAGATATAGGAACTACAGTAGACTCCCGATCATCCACGAGTGAATTAATAACGTTGCAGATTAAACACAATTGCATAAAATATTAGTGATGGGCGGATCCAAGAATATGTCGGTACCGGTTCCGGATCTTGAAAAAATCGGATCCGGATGTTCGGGTCCGGATACGTTTTTTTTTCTTTTTTCCCCAAGGACGTTTTTTTTTTTAAGTAGCCCATATGGCTAGGTAATGTGACAATATATGTCGACGTAAATAACTCATATGAGTAGGCAATGTCAAAGACTATCTGTGTCCATATACGTAGAGGTGTGCGGATAGTGAAATTTCATTTCGGATTGGATAGTTGAGGCTCGGTTCGGATCGGATCGGATATTGGGAGGTTCGTATTCGGATATTTGCGGATTCGGATAGTTCGGCGCGGTTAATAATAAGCTGCATATGTATTTTTAACCTATAAAACAATGTAAAGCTGTGTAAATAAACTTAAATGACGATTTTGAACTATAGAATTTCAAATTAGCCAAGTCCACAGTTTTCTCTCTCTTGAAAATCACAATTCACAACATTTATTTTCAAAAGTTGGTTGCTTGAATTAAGTACACTAGCAGCCGAAATCTTCACACAACACCTTAGCTCAGCAGGACTGATGTCAAACGTTTGGGCTTGTTTACTTGAGGTTATGTTTTATCTTGTTTCCTGGTTCTCACAAGCCAAGGAGTTCGATCTCAAGTTTATTTTCACATTGTATTTCCTTACGTTTTTGGAACGGATTATTGGCCTTAAGTGGCATTTTGCGGGTTTGCCAAGTTTAGAAAACATCACGAATGCACTAAGATGGGCTCTAGCTCACGATTTGATGTTGGGCAATTAAATTAGACTTTATAACTGTGTAAAAGGTGTGTATCCCTGAATTTATAAATTGCATTCTACACTTATTCACTGCCAAACATAATTCAGTAGAACCTTGATGAACCGAGAATTACACTAGCCTACATAACTTCACTACCCCAAGTAAAATACCAAGATAATTTTTATAATTGTATTTGAATCGTATAATCTTAGTTTGTTAAAAATGGATTGTATTTAATTGCAGTCCATTATTGTTAAGTAGTATGGTCCCAAATTATTGTTTTTGATTTTGAAACATCACAGTTCATTTGACAAAATTATAGTTGAAGCAGCCCAATGTCAAGTCACGCTTGTGCAATAGTTTGTTTACAAGCTTTCTCCAGACCACGGGGGAGGGGAGGGTCTGATAAGCCGTCTATTGTTCACCCCCAAGAAGGTCCGACCCTCATTAGTGCCCCTCGGCTGCACTCAGTGGGGAACCCAATACCACAAATCAATCTTTTAAATGAATACAAATATTTGGTAATAATTGTTTTATTAATATTCACCTTGAAATTTCAATAAATTTGGTGTAAAATGTGACAAAAATCGGCCATTTTGACCGATTATTAATACAGTACCAAATACCAATAAAGTAGTACATTCATTGGTAATTAAATAACAAGTTTTACCCCCCTGCTGTGCACTATGTCACAAAAGCTGATAACGACATGGGTGATTAGTAACCATGGCAACTTGTTGAATGTGTGATGAAGGGAAACCCAAGAAATAGAAGACTGGGACGGGTGGCGTCGTCCTGTAATCCAGCTACTAGGAGGTCACAAATTGTGGATATTTATAGGGATGCACTGTGGATGCGATGCTCCCTGGTGTGGATTAACGTCCGCACTAGTGAGTACTACGACTATCCGCAGTACTATCCTGATAATTAGACCAATTCATAAATTACAAGGAAAAAATGTGTTTCGGATTCCACTATAAACTGTAGGTCCCTTAGTTGCCATTAGCTGTATGGGCTATTAATTAACAGCTGTGTCTAAGGAACATGTCGGCCTTAGTCACTAACAAGAATACAAGATCGCGCCACTCATCCTACACTCATCCTTCACTCATATTTGGGTTAAAATATGCACATAGTGGTGTCCCCATCTTAAATAATTGAATTGAATTGAATTGAACAAAGAGAAAGAATAACGACGTTGTTATCTTTATAGGCTACCCTTTTTACAATTTCCGTTATTGTTATCTTTATGTAAGATTTTATGATTTTGTTTTATAGGTTTATAAAATAACTCTTTTTAACTACTGGAATATCAATTTATAATTTATCAACGTGCTTCTCTTCTGAAACCGCAATACCGGATGCATAATAAAGGTCAATGACCTAAAATATCACGATTGTGCAATATTGTATTTTGCTGTTGAAATTAAAATCACGACAAAAGTTTGTATATATCCATGGTCCCTATAGTTTAATCATTTAATATGTACACAATCAATGCTAAATAATCGTGGTTAGTTCTAACTTTATTTTTTATTATTCAAAGTTTCTACACAGTAAGACAATCCAAAGTCAAACCGGGCAATGAATACCCAAAAAACAACGTATCTTGTCCTGTGATTGGAATACCACTCGCCGGCCAGTCCTTTAGGTTTAGGGAAGTAGTGCAAGTCTATATATAGCTTCAAGGTCTTACCCACCCTTTCCCCCTCCGGTCCTACTTGACTCACTACCCGCGCTCCTTTTGAGGTCATTGCCCAACCCCTCCCACCCTTCTATTGTGTTGCCTTTCTATTGGTTCTATTCTAACTTTTTTTGGGAAACATTAAATCTATTGTTTACGTAACATCACAGTAGTAGGCTAGATTTTTCTACTTTGAAACAGTACTGTAAAAAAAACTATTACGCAGCGCCCCTAGTATCAGGAGCGAGACAAGCACGAGTTGACTTTCATTTGACCATGGTAGTTCTGTTCTGCTTTATGCCTGTTCGTTCCAGACGAATCTAATCGTAAAGCAAAACAGCCGATAACGACTAAACTAGTTATCAGTATTGCATCATAGCTGTTTGCTGTTAGGTCGTTGGAAACGTATTGCTGTAATTTTGTCCTTGGAAACTAATGGTGGCTATGGAGATTTAGTTTTCTGTCCAAAACGTCAAAATATATTGTCTATCCGAAAAAGTCGGATATATAACGGATAGTGTCGGATATCGAATTTGGGCCCGGTTGGATACGGATATCCGAACCGAACCGAATCCGACCCGATTTTTCGGATATCTGCACACCTCTATATACAAGACAATCTGTGTCCATATACAAGACTATCTGTGTCCATATACAAGACAATCTGTGTCCACATAGAAGACTATCTGTGTCCATATACAAGACTGTCATAGCCCAAGGGGGGGGGGGGGCTATTACTTTTTATTCACCCTGAACACAAGACTCTGTATCCATCTATAAGACTATTTTTGTCCATATATATGACTATCCATATCTATACATAGACCTTGTATATGGACACAGATAGTATTGTACATGGATACAGATAGTCTTGTATATGGATACAGATAGTTTTGTACAGTCTAACCTTGATATAACGAACCTCGATAAAACAAATTCCTTGATATAACGAATTGTTTTTAATCCCCTACAACGATGGTTCTGTGATCGTGGGATATGTTGACGATCGCACTGCGAACGTCGGACATGTTGACTATGGTTCCATGATCGTGGGAGATGTTGGCGTTAAAACCATGTTTTAGCCCCTGAGCTGTGTAATAACTAAAATAGGCTTTACCTTCGTCAATGCAGCTCAAATGTTGGTGTTGTTCAGTAGTTTTATTTTAATGCAGCTAAATTGTTCAACACGTTACGGCCATTTCGGCATTACAATGCCATCGTCAGACTACAAAATCTCGACTGAAGTAGCGTCGTTGAAGTTAAAACACATAACACACACGATCAATTCAAATGCATTTAAACAATTTACAAAAACGATCCAGGCCTGTCGTACTAACTGCAACGGTTGACATGTTCCCGTTCCGAGTAAAACGTCGACTGGTCCTATGTCGTGCCTGGTGTGGTGGCGTTATCAGTTGAACTTTGTACTCCTGGCTACGGGTTCCTTTTCTGATTTAAAATGCTATTGAATATGAAGTGTGACTTGTACTGTAGTTTGTCGTTTGAAATTATATCATCCAAATTATTTTCGGTATAAGCTTTGTAAATTTCGTACTCTTCTAGGGTGTCCAGTTTATTGCCCTCTTACTTGTGTGGAGTATTTCTAAGCCATTGTTCAGATCGTTCATGTCGTGATTTTTTCAACCAAGTGTTGTGCAAAGGATGACATTTGTTTGTCGGCTCTAGGAAATGGATGTATCTGGTTGAAAAAAATGTATCTGGTTTTTTACAGTACAGTTGTATCTGGTTTTGAATGAACATCCAGTCTTTTGAACACCTGACTTTTACCTTTCTCAACTACACGACTTGAAACATTCAATTTGTTAATTATTTTATTATTTTTTATTATTTTTATTATTATTTAATTTATTATTACTAATTATTTTATCATGTTAAAGTAACATGATTGATAACTAAAAAGAAAAACAAAAGGCCTGGAGATAATCATCTACAAAAGGAAAAGAAAAAGTATGTATGTGTGGAATATTCCCATTCCATTCAACACACGCTCACGAAAGAGCTGAAGAAACACAACATTCCATTGACTTTGAGAACGAAGGTAAAGCCTATTTTAGATGTTGATGATCCCGCCGTTAGCGTTGGACATGTTGACCATTGTTCCGTGATCGCGGTTGATGTTCGGGCTGGCGCTGTGACCATGGGAGGTCGGATAACCGAGACTCTACTGGAATAAATAAAACCATAAACCAACCAACACAAGTTGACTTCCCACCCTATTTTTAATTTTGAAGCTCTTTTTTCGTGTCTAGTTCATGTACGGTGACACTAGTGGCTAGTGTCGACGACATTTTGTTTCTATGATTTAAATTAATTTAATGATTTGTGCTTTACTGTTTGGTTATATAACTAGAGGATGAGTTATTGATTATGAGTATATCGTTTTATTTGGTTTAACGGGGTTTTAAATGACTGAAATAAGAAGAAACAGATTGTAAACAAAACACGACCCCTACAGTGCACTGGAAAGAACTAACGATAAAATTGGCTTCAGCTGTTCCATAAGGATGGGAAATCTACGAAGGGAGTATGTTTTATCTATGATAAAACTATGGAACCGTTATTTCCTTGCAGGTGGGAAAACAAAACTAAAAACCTTTAACTTATTGGTTAAAACAGTGTTTAGCCTTATAATTAAAGCAACGATGCTTTAAGTGAAACTAAATTAGATATTCGTCTTCCATGGAATATTTCGCCCTGGGCTAACGTTTTGCTACGTTCACGAGGCCAAGGGCTGTTTCGCCCTGGCCTAATGCCTAGCATTAGAATATACTTGGTTATCACGGGTTATTCTACCCTGTGTTCGATTCCAGGGACTATTTCGCCCTGGCCTAACATCAGGCTGTTTTGCCTTACGCTCCAACTTCACTAGGGAGAGATGTGCCAACTGCTAGCACAGGCATTCAACTTACTGTACCCTGTCTTACTCCGTGATTTATTGGAGTCACGACACGAGTGCAGCGAGTGGCCGCGCGGAGAATTAATGACCCCGCCACAGCTGCTCGACTATCAGCTGTTTTTGCGCATTTGAAATCGCATTGATTTCTTTATATCTTAATATTTTTACCATTACAAATTTGTCTTCTGTGATCGCAGAAAAATTCTAATTATATCCTGCAGCCGTGTAGACATTATCATCATCTCCCACGGACACAGATATGTTATCCTCATCATATTGCGGCAGTAGCATGAAATTATCCATGGTGGATCTTCGCAGACGTGTCGGGTATCGAAAATGGACACATCCCTAATCGTAATAGTTTTCACACATTTATATGTTTTAATGGTTTAAAAATGCATATTAATCTAATTAAGAATTAAGTTTGATACAAATATTAACCCAATTTGAAAAAAATACAGACGCTCAGTGACACTGACGTAACAGGACCTGCAAAGTGCCCAGAGAACCCTACATACGACTTGCTCAGTCTAAGAGAAAGTGATGCTTTGAAAGCTCAATACCCGAGGAATATTTGGACCACAGTGAGCCCCAGGAGTTGCATGTACCAGCATAGATGTGATTTTGTTGAATGCCGAGTCTGAACACAGCATGTGTTTTGTCTTAAATATCTTTTAGTACAGCAATGTGTCTGTGTTGGGTTTGGTCAGGTCTTGCAGTTAGAGTGAAAACATCAACTCATTTTCCCAAAGACACTTTTTTTCTCATAGCATTAAACAATAAAAAAAGCTCAGAGTAAAACAAAACTTTCCAAACGGCTTTGAAGTTTTATTCTCAAGTGTGCTGAAATGTAATGCCAAACGTCAATATAAGTTAATCATAAGATTATGTTTTTATACACTTTGAACAAGGTTGATAAAAAAAATAGTTAAACTAAATTTTTCTCAAAAATCTCAGAAATGTATGAAAATAATATAATAGCGGATGAACTCTTTTCACTGCAATCAGTTACTTAATGGTAACAGTTAAAAGGAATTGCCATCTTAATTAACAAAGTATGTAAAAACTGAAAAGCAGATTGTATCCATCATTTAAGGTTTGTTGAGTGCTAGCAAAAAAAACCCCTGTTGAAAAATTAACAGTTCCAGCTACAAAGATATTCATAGTGTATTTAATAAGTAGGTTTGTAAACCAATTGTTTTTAATGGATGAAGCTAAATAAACATTCTAAAGAATAAAGAGGACTGACCATAATATTGAAAGCTAAGATAGTTGATTAAATGATTTGTAATTAAAGGCCATAAAATTTGTTAGAATATTATTTATGGTTAGCTGATAATTGGTAACACCCTAGAGTCACTCAGCCACTTATCACTGGTTAAGGACTAAAAGCCAGTGAATAACCTGACCAAGATGGTTACTTACTTTCTTTAATTGCTTTAACCAAACTTGTGTAATTGGAATTTTGTTTTATTATTTCCAGGTTGTGGAGGTTATAGGGAGAGAAAATATTAAACTGAACCAGAAGCAAATTGATGACGTAATTGAGTTGATAAAGAAAGAAGAGAAGATTGAAAAGAAGGAAGAAAATAAGAATGGAGAGCCAAAAAATGGAGGCAATGAGGTTTCCGATCCTACAGCCAGCAAAAATGTTGGGAAAAAAGTTGAAAATTCAAATCAAAAGGATACCAAACAAGCAAATGAAAGTATTCAAAAACTAACTGTTGTTGAAGATTTTATTCTTTCTACGGGAAAAGAAACAAAGGATAAAAAGTTTGACATCCCCCTCCCTCCAACACCAGAGGAAGTCATTCCACCATCATCACTGGTATCCAGGGAGGCTGTCAAGGGAACACCTAAAGCGGCAGATGCCAAGGATTCACTTAAAAAATCATGATTTAACGTAGAATGATTATTTAAGTATTATTTGTTGTAAATGCATTGTTTAACATACAAAATAGAGTTTCAAAGCTACAGTGCTGGTTTTTTGCTACCTCTTAAAACAAGCTATGTAATTTAGAGAACAAGTATTTCTCCAACGGATGAAAAAATATGCTTCTGTTTCCATTGGTACATAAAATTTTTTCACTAAAAAATTAACTGGTAATAATAGTCAAAACAAAATTCTGTAAAGTACTTCAACATCATCAAGTGGTAAGCTTTGAGGAAATATGTTGGAGGAACAAAACTTTAATAGCATAATACATAATTCACAAAGTTATTTAAATGTATATATAATGATACTTGGTGCATTATTATTAAGATTGCAATGTGATAATTTTTATACTAGTGCTGAGACTTTTTGTGAATAGGTGTAACTATTTGTTTTTGTTATATACATGTTCTTGAAGCCCGTAATATATTTTATTTTAACTGTTTGATTAAAGTAGTTAAAACTTGTTGACACGTTTTTTAATTCTGCCTTGCGCGCACATCTTTATGCTTGAATTGCCTAAAGATTTAATCTATTTTTTTTGCCTTTTATAGCAAAGCAAAGGTATTTTATTTTATATCTAGGATACTTTGTGATCATAAAACTGAAATATCTAAGTTTAATGTTTGATTTGATCATCTATTTGGAAAACTAATCTTTGGTCTTTCACAAGCCAGGTCCGGTTCAGGGTGGGGTGAATAGCACCCAAGGCTACTAAAAAAGAGGTTGCCTAATAGGGTGTTTACGGTGCCATCGTCAAACTTGTTAGTTTTTGTGTAGGTGCTGTGTAGGGTACTCAATTCTGGGATCTCGAATTCCAGTCGATTTTCTGAGGTATGTTGATAAAAATACATATAATAACACTTAAAACACACATTTACACTTATATTGTTTACTTACAGGACGGTAAATGCATATAAACAATTGTAAGTGGTTATAATTTTGATTGGAAGTAAAGTAAATGATAAAATCAATAGTTGTATTGAATTTAAGTTTTTTTATTAAGGTCAATGTCAAACTGAACTGTTTACCAAAAACAAACATTAATAACTAATAAAACCAACGTATGTAAAATATTTAGTTAAAACAACTGTCTTTTAATACTAAATAATGGTGTAAATACCTGCATCTATGTGATCAATGTGTGCACACATTGATCACATAGATGCAGGTATTTACACCATTATTTAGTATTTAAATGTGATCAGGAGGCTAAAACTCAATATAATGATGTCTTTTAATATTATTCAAATTCAAATAGTTTTATTACCATTAAGTATACATGTCATACAATAGGCCAGGTCAATGGAGATAATATACAATTCAAAGTACAATGTACAGAGTCAAGTGTAAATAGATGAACATGCTATACTAATAAAAGTAATAATACTGGGTTTTTGTACAAAAGTATTACAGATGTATTGATAATTATGGTAATAATACTGTTTATGGTTAAGCGAACAAGTTGGGTAAGTCCCTATAATAAAATAATTAAGGCTAAAATTGGCAGTGAGATACAGCTTAAAACTAAATAACAATAAATTTTTAATATAACATTATTATGAAAGACTTATCACAGTTCATGAAACCATTGTTACATACTTTAGAAACAATACCCTACATACCACCTACTACCTAGGTTTAATGCACGAGTGAAAAATGGAATACTTAAATGAACTGAATAGTAAAAGGGGATTATAGTTAATAATAATATTTGGTAACAATTAGAATTTTACAGAAAATCATGTTTGAAAGATAAAAATTCCTCGATAGAGTAGATAACCTTTCTGTTCAAAAAATCTGTCAATATATTATGATAAAGACCATAAGGAAGAGTAGACACTACACACTTCCCCCCTAGAATGAGTCCCTCACTTTAAGTGAGGAATTATTTACCACACGAACAAATTTCGATCTTTGAACTTTGTGCGGTTTGTCTGCTGTGGGGAACGACTTATTTTTATTGTTGGATTGTCTTGTGATTTTTCTTTCTTCTTTGCCTTTTTCGGGAATGTAGTCTTCAAGAAGAAACGCTGGTTTCAAACGGTCATTTGAAAATTTTGTTCTTTTTCCGTTCACTTCAAAAAAATCTACTATTGACTTAACTTTTGCTTGGAGTGGTTTTAGACCGCTTACACTGACTTCATGGCCTAGAAATTCCAATGAATTGACGCCAAAAACACATTTTTCAACATTGATGCATAGACCGTAGTGATCCAGTCTTTTGAAAAGTGTCATAAGGTGAATTTTGTGCTCTGATTCATCCTTTGCAATTAAAACGTCATCAAGGTACTAAACCTAATAGTACCTGATTCATGAATCTTTGGAATGTTTGAGCGGCATTTCTTAAGCCAAATGTCATATACGGGAACTCAAATAATCCAAATGGAGTGGTGATAGCTGTTTTTTCAATGTCTTCTTGACGGACAGGTATTTGTTGGTATGCTCGGACTAAATAAATTCTGTAAAATATGTTTGTGCCATGTAAAAAATTAGTGCAATCAGTTAGAAATGGCAAAGGATACTTATCAGGAATTGTAGCTTGATTTAATTTTCTGTAATCACCACATGGTCTCCAGTCTCCATTTTTCTTTTGAACCAGATGAAGAGGACTTGCCCAGCAACTGCTAGAAGGTTGACATAGTCCTTCTTGCAACATGAACTGAAATTCATGTTTTGCAGCTTGGAGTTTATCTGGAGGTAAGCGACGGGGTCGGGCTGTGACTGGAGGACCTGGAGTTTCAATAAAATGTTCAACTTTATGTTCAACAATCTTTTTGTTTATAGGTCTAGGTCTTAATAAATCAGGGAATCGTGCCAATAAGGAATTGAATGGATTATTTGTACTCAAAGAGAAGACTGAAGAGTTACGGTTTGAAGACATTTTCTGGGGAATGTTTCAAAGTGCACCATCAATGAGCCTGTTTTTCTTGGCATCGATAATAAGATTAAAATGTGATAAAAAATCCATTCCCAATATAGGTTTGTTAACATCGGCTACTATAAAATTCCATTTGAAAAGCTTGTTTAGTCCTAAATCAATCAGAAGTTGTCTTTGGCCATAAGTTTTAATTTTGGTACTATTAGTAGCAACAAGTTCAAGTTTCTGTGGGTGATTTTTATCCTTAAGAGTAGCTGGAATGACAGAAAAATCAGCTCCAGTGTCCACGAGAAATTTGGACAATGACTGTTTATCATGAACAAATAGGCGACTCACTTCTGCCCCCTTAGGTCGTGTCGCCGAAGTACCTGGGGGCTGGAGTTTTCCTGTTCCAATGGTAAATGAGATAACAAACAGGGAGGTGTGCATTTGCGAGCACGACCACCAAAATTAAAGTGATAGTACCTAACACAAAGACTGTTGCGGAGATGATTTCCTTGTGTTCGTGTTGTGAGAAACACATTTGGATTGACTTAGGTTGTTTTTGTAGATGGATTGAATTTCATTAGACAATTCTGATATTTGTTTTCGGAGAGTACCTAACACAAAGACTGTTGCGGAGAAGATTTCCTTGTGTTCGTGTTGTGAGAAACACATTTGGATTGACTTAGGTTGTTTTTGTAGATGGATTGAATTTCATTAGACAATTCTGATATTTGTTTTCGGAGATTAGTTATAATTGAATCCTGTGGTTCAATGGAAGAAACAGAGGTAGTGGAATTTAGATGATTAGTTGTAATGTCAATAATTTTGTCAGCCATCTCCGAAAGTTAAGATAAGTTTTCATCACAAATTGAAAGAGTAGTTTGAGCATTGATCGGTAGTTGTTTCAACCAAAGAGCTTTTAAAAAATCGTCACTCACCTTATTCTGAGCCAGTGACCTCATTCTACTCAGAAGTTGCGAGGGTTTATGGTCCCCAAGTTCCATATCTGTCAGAAGGGTTTGTATTTTTTTTGTGTCACTTTCATCATACAAGGAAATTAATTTAGTTTTTATTGCTATGTATTTGTTCTCTGCTGGTGGATCTGTGACAATCTCAGAGACTTGAGATAGAATATCAGCGTCAATAAAACTTACCACCGTGTCGAACTTGCCTTGATCTGAGACAATTTGTGATCTTCGAAATTGAGCTTCAATTTGAACGAACCAAATTTTTGGGTCAGGTTTCCAGAATTGAGGAACTTTAAGGGGCGGTTTGGGAGCTCGAGCCCAGCTAGTACGCGCCTAGTGTTGGACGCGCCTAACTTTAGTCCCCGGACCAGAAACCAGGCTTGGGAGCTCGCGCCTAAGTTGAAATGGTCGTAGATCAAGTATAGTCGCGCCTAAGTTGCAGCGCAGCTAGATGGACAGGGAATCGCGGGGAATTCAGGTTTTGACGTTGGCAACGGCCATTGCAGAACCCGTTACCGTTGACAACAACAAAAGATGAACAATTATTGAAGATGGATACAATTTTATCTTGGTATATCAATGGTGGCTAATTAGTAGACTACGGTGTATGTTTCTGCATTGTACCATTGCAAAAATGTAGTTTTGTAAGATCGTTGTTTTACATCCCAATGACTGAAGAACCGTAATTGTTTATATTAAATTCTTTTAAGATCTAACTTTATTTTCACTTTACGATTTATAATTATTTTATCAGTTGTCTTTAAGTACTACTAGTTGTATTTTAAGTACTACACCTTATAAATACGTACAGAGCAACATAGGATTAACATCGGAAATTCGGTTTCATGCCATAAAAGCTTCAAAATTAAACAGTAATTTCCCAGTATAATATAGGGGTATTGACGGAAAAAAATAATAAAAAGTAATTGCGGAGGTTATGATTATGTGAAGCCAAGGTAAATGTAAAATATATCTTTTAATACACTAGGCTACTTAGAAAAAATTGTTGTCAATTTAAAATCTTTTTTACATGACACTCCTTTATCTAATTTTCCTAGGGAAGTATCTATTACCGTAGGCAGCACTTAGTTCCGGGACCGATATACTTTTCCATTTCGATGTCCCTAGAGGCCAAAAACACTATTCGTTCAAAATTGTATATATGTATAGCCTATATATAATGTATTATATATACGTCCATAAACGTGATAACTTGGGTAATTTTTGTCTGATTTTGATAAAATTTGTCATGAAAGTGTAAGGCGCGATTCTCCTTAATGAGTTCGCGAACCAGCATGATCAGACCAAGGGAACCCGGAGTTGTATAGGATAAAAATAGTTTTTTTTCTCAATTTTAGCCCCTATAACATAAATTTTTATCTTTAAAATATTTTAAATAGCATAAAAAACAAATTAGTATCTTAAAATGTTTTGTGCGGTTATTGGCTACAGAGACTATTGAGAAAACTGTAATTTTAAATTCCCATGTGATTCTTATGGAGAATAAGTTAACTGTTGTAGTGTGGTCGTTTATGGATATATTTTTATGAAACTTGGCAAATTTATTTATTTTTTATAAAGCTGTTAATATTTTGTAAAAAAACACACTTTATTGCCCTCCCTGTAGCAGCA